AAAATTGATTTAAAAATAATGCCCTTTTTCAAATTTATACTAGAAAAATGTTATTAACTTAGATTAATTTTTTATCGCGTATCAAAAACTAGATTTGATTTAATGACAGAATGCTAATATTGGATATATAAATTTTAAATCTTATCATTTTTTCCAAATAAATTTTCCCTATTAAAGTCAAATGCCTTTTTTTATATTGATTAAAAAACTGATTTAATGATACTTTCAAATCTGAGTAAAAGTGACATTAACTGAAATTTAATAAAATTAATTTTTGTTATTTCAATATCGCGTATAAAATGATTGATTTAATGATACAATGCTAAAATGTATGTATATAAGATTGACGTTTTCATTACATATACAGTGTTTTCATTTAAGTTAAATAATTGAGATATCTGCTTGGATGATATGAAAAGAGATATAATGAAGACATAAAGTTACTCGAAAATTAACAACAAGAATATAAGAAAAGCCAGTGAAAAATTTATTTGATATAATAAAAATCATTTTTATGCAGAGAATGTATAAGATATTTATTTCTACAAATTAATTTTTTTTTTCAAAATAAATGCAATTTTCTCCGTTGAAAATTATTCAAAAATGGTTAAATGCCTTCTTTTATTAATTAAAAGCCTGACATTAAATATAAAAGGTTTTCAAATATGAAAATAAATTTATTTAATTTAATTTTCTTTATTATATTTTTCAAGACAAGTAATTTCTTCCTTTTTCATATCATCTTATTTTCTCCTAAATAATAATTCTTCAAAAGCAACAGAAATATTTTAACTGTTCAAGTTAAATAAAATACACTGTATAAAAACTGTACATTCTAGTAATATGCACTTAAAAAAAATCCAACATTCTTATAAAGAATTTCAATATATTCTCTTTGAGTTTCTTTAAAAATCGCCGAATTTACTAAAAGAAGGCGAAACTTTTTTAACAAAAGTATATGTTTCTATAAAAAAATCCATTCTTTTGTTCAATCACAGAGACAGAACAACCGAGAAATGTTTGCGAGAAAATCTCGTGGGTGTACACAGAGTCCTGTCACTCACGCACGATTCGCTCGGCTCCATTATGTCTTCTTATTCAATCAAAATACGTAACGTTAAATCTTAATTTCTTTCCATCCGAGTTGACTCCGGCCGAGAAGAAAAGAGAGAGCCCATCCATCAATCAGTGATTTTTACAATTAACGCATACCACCGGAGGATAGCGCCGCAGCTGTTATTACGTAACAACGGACTTACACAGTTAGACACCCACTGAATGACCGGCGCGCATCTGTCTTTATCAAGCGGAGGAGTAGGCCGGTAATAGAAATCCGGTAGTTTCATTTCACCATTACACGCAACAAATCCCGAAATGTCTCTGATTGATTTCCTCGCTCCCGAACTAATGAGCATTCGATGCTTCATGGCATTCTAATGAGACGATAGAACGCGATCGGGGCAAATAGTGGATCCGAAACCAGCTCCCAATACACGATTCGATAATTTCCGAGTTGGTGATTACTCGATGACGGAATCTCTCTCGATCCGAGGGGCTCTTATTATCTCCTCTGACTCGATATCGCAAAAAAGTTAAGTATAGAGCTTTTGGAAGGAAACCTTTTGGGATTCAAAAAATGCAACAAAGAGATATTGTCCTCAACTCAATGTGGCAAAAATAAAAATACTAGCAGAGAAAGAGTGATGCATTGACTTTATTAACGTGTCATAACAATAACCTATTATGAGAAAATAGGTGCTTATATTGAGGAAACCTGAACGCGTTCACTGGCCACCAGCGTGAAGGCGTAAAACTGGGGCCCGCGTTTCGGGATTCTACAAATTGGCCGGTTAGATTAGACAGGGGGACCCTTATGTATAATACTTCAAACAAATACTTTGTATTCGGAAACGTAACGAGACACATGGTTCGGTAGTTGATTAGATTTAAAAGAATGCCCCGTCACCTGCCCTGTTGAAAGGAGACTAGGGCCCCGGGAAGGATCGATGGTGGGGAGAAACGAGACGGGAAAGAGGGGGCAGAAGGGGACGGACGGTGATGAAGGGGGGCGAGAGGGGGGTTCGGTGCTTGATCGTGAGCAACGAGGGGGCCCAGGCATGAGGCCCCAGCGATCACTGACCGCTTTCGCCGATCCCTGCCGCCAACTAGCCACCTTTCAGCGGCGCAGCCATCGGAGCATCCTCCTGCTTAAGGTCCATTCACATTGGGTCGCTAATCAAACCCGATAAAAGAAGGAAAAGAAGCGTACCACGATTCCTTTCAAGTCGCAGAAATTGCCATTATCGGAACGGGACCGGCTATCGCGAGATTAAACGCGCGGAATTTATGTAATTGTCGATAATGAAATCGTTAGGATTAAGAACAACGATATTTAATCTTCTTAATATGAGGGTTCCAGGGAGAGAGCTCTATCACTGGATTAAATTCGAATAAAAAATCGTCGATAATTAAAAACATATATATATATATTTGATATAATATTTATTTAACCCAAATATACAAAAGTGTGTGTTTAAATAAGTGAGAAAAATTTTAGATGATTCTTTGTCGTAAATTAAGAGAGATTTCTCATATAAACATATACTCTTATATATCCCTCCCTGAGGAGTTACACTTTTCTAAGGAAAAGTTAGTTTCATTATTTTATATAACAATACAGGAAGATCAAAAAATTTTTTACTAGTGAAAATTTTCGCACTTATTTAAATACACCCTATATGTTTATATAAAAAAAAATATATATATATATATTCACTTTCTCTCCCTTTCGTAAATTTCGGGTCCACAACGAAATTTCCTCGCAAATGAAGAATGATTGATATATAATCCTGCCTCAGGATTAAATCGAATTTATCCTCGGGACAAATGGGATTCTTTGTGTACGCGTTTGTATTAATAATCCGTGTGTTTGATTAGTCACGGTAAATGGGAAGGTAATATCGGTCAAAAATTACGTCCCGATGAAAGCCGACGAAAATAATCTCCCGGGAACGAGGCGACCCTTTCCCGGAAGAATTTCAAGACATTTGTGTAATGAGAAAGAATGGCGCGAAACTTTCGCCGAGGTAAATATCAAGCGTAGTAGTTATCAGGTCGCAGTTTCGTTTTACAACACGCGTAAACATGTGATACACGATTAATCCGCGAAACACCAGACACCCGTGGAATAATATTACGCGCGCTTTATATAGACGGCATGAAATGCAGTCCACCAATTACCGGGGCAAAAGAAGGAGAGAGAGAGAGAGAGCTCGACGAAAGAGTGAAATATACCGATTTAAGACTCGCGGCCTTGGTAAGGATCTCTCGTAATAACGATCAATGAGGTGATAAAACGTACGTTTAATTGCGAAATCGATAGTTGGCTCATATTATCAGTGACAACGATGTATTTTTCCCCCTTTCTACGATCCTTCTCGAATATGTCTCACGTTGTGAACTGTATTAAAGTATAGCGTGATGTGAGCGAAATCGAGCGAATTATATGAGAAAAGGGAGAGAACGACGATGTATATATAAATGTTTATAATCACTGATGATCGATTTCAACGAGTTAACGCGAACGTTGTTTATGGTCATTTAAAGCTCGGTGAATGGGGCCTGTTGGATCGCTGATTTAAGCGATGATGATGTATTTCAAAGGCCCTTTGCCAAGTAGGGGAACCCTACTTTGAGCAGGTAAAGGTAACAAATCACTCTTCAACGACGGGAGGCCAAACTGCTAAACACTGTTTTCTGAAAGGTGGGGTTTGTTCCCTATAGGAGACCACTTGACATGCTGTTACACACAATTCCTAACACAATGCATCAAACCGCTTCACGATCGAGAGGATAAAAATGTGCGAATTGTAAATACTTCAAAATATTTTAGGGAGACTAGCTCGAATTTTATAAAGGACAGAATAAGATATTTCAATCGAGCGGCTTATTCGAGTTTCAATAAATTGACATTTAATTTAAAATATATAATTTTATTAATTATATATATATATATATATATATCTTATATATAAATTAATTAATTATATCTTTTTTGTTACATATAATATTGTAAAGAAGTACGATTTATAATTTGATAAAAAAATAAATAAAAAGAACAAAAAATATAAAAAATATATAAAAAAAAAAAAGAAATAAAATTTAATTTAAATAAGAATTTCTCTAATAAATTAACAAATAAAAAATTTGCAAATAAAATTTCTATACATATTACTCCATTAATTGTTAATTAACTTATGAAAAATGCGAATCGCAGTGCAATGTCCGTTTTTTATGAGACAGATGACCACGAGAGAAGTGCTCTGCGGAAAAAAAAAAGTATCTGCGAAGCGCGGTGGCGACCGGAATAAGGACGTGGACGGGATTTGCACAAAGGGATCGGGCAAACATTCTTTTTCGAGGTCCCATTCTACATGACAGAATCGTAGAAACGATGTGAGAACAGATGATGGCGCAGCGAGAGAGGTTTCGTGAACGGATCGAACAGCAATACGATGAAAGAATAAAGAGAACGAGAAGAGGAGAGATCGACAGACGAGAAAAAGGGCAGGAGGAATGAAAAAGAGAGAAAGGCAGAGACGAGGGGGAACACGAGATGTGCGGGAAGCGCGCGAGAGAAGAGAAAGAGAGAAACGGGAAAGATGCGCGATGGAAAAAACGGAAAGGAGAGACGAGGAAATAAGAACGTGGAGACTGCAGATGCGAAGGAGCCACTGTAAGGACCCGGAGAGTGTACCTGTCTTGTTTTTATAGGCTTGCCAGAATGTCGGGACCCGGGTACGCGACGACGACGACGACGACGACGACGAAGACGTGGACGAGAAAAGAAGACGAGCGACTTGGTGGGAGAACAGAGGACGGTCGGGGGAAGTGCGACGAGCGGGAGAGGATGAGGTGGCGGTGGAGGGAGGTGGGAGAGAAGGGTAACGGAGGCCCGGCGGGGCCTTACGACTCTGCCAACCAGTTCTGGAGGAACCGTCGGCCCCACCGGAGTCGCACACGCGCGCGCGCGTCGTCAAACCGCGGTGACTCTCCTCTCTCTCTCGTCGTCCGAAAGAGATTTTTTTCCCACCGCGAGATCATTTCGGGGTCGCTGAACCCGGGCTGTCTTTCTTTTTCGCGAGCGCGTTAACTTGGCTCGGTACGGAGCTCGTTGCGAGACGCGAAAAGCGAGGATGAAACCGCCGGGATCGTAAGGTCGAGCGTCGAGCCGAAGAAGAAGAGGCGATGGAGAGACGCGAGAGAGCGATATGGATGACATGAGGTGAAGAAGAGACGAAAAAGAGAAAAAAAAAAAAACGCGCGTCGACCTAGAGGTGGTAATTTAAATGGATCGACGCGCCGATTTCGCGAGACGAGACTGAAGAGCGGAAGGGGGCGGCGGGGGGGAGGGGGATTCCACGTTGATGGAACATTAGAGGGATCCCGGCGAAAAGATGCGGGGTAGTCCTGCCTTCCTCGCCATCCTCCTGGGCACGATATTCGGCGTCCTCGGCGCGTCCCTAAGCAAGGCGCTCAGGTATAAGGCACCGGACGAGTGCAAGTGGATCACGACCGGCGACGCCGAGAACGACGTCTCCCTGGTGTGTCGTCTACGCACCATCAACAGCGAGCTGGAGAACACCAACTTCAGCGTGATACAGCCGCAGCACACGGTGCGTCTGCGTCTGGAATGCAGCGACGCGCTCTTCTACCAGAGCTCGCTCAGCGCCGGCAGCTTTCGGCCGCTGGTCGAGCTGCGCGAGCTCGTGATCGAGTACTGCAAAATCGGTAATTTGTCGGACGACGCGTTCAAGGGACTCAGGGAGCTGCGAAATCTCACCGTGAGGACCCACAACACCGATTGGTCGGCAATGGCGCTCGACATCTCCGCCGGGGCCTTCACCGACGAGCTTCGCCAGCTGGAGAAGCTCGATCTCGGGGAGAACAACATGTGGAGCATACCGGAGGGCGGCCTCTGTCCGTTGGTCAACCTGGAGATTCTGAATCTGACGAGGAACCGGCTCAGGGATATCGCGGGCTTTCGCTTCAACGCCGCGGCAAGATGCCTGACGAATCTCAGGGAGCTGGATCTCAGCAACAACAGCGTCGAGTCACTGCCGAGTGGGGCGTTCTCCGGTCTAACGAGGCTGCACAGCCTGGATCTGCGGTGCAACGCCATCGGTTTCATGGCGGATCGCGCGTTCGAGGGTCTCTCCTCGCTGGCCATCTTGCGACTCGCCGACAACCGTCTATCTAGTTTGCCACCCGAGTTGTTCGGCGACGCTAGGGATATACAGGAGATCCATCTGCGTAACAACACGTTAAGCGTCTTACCGCCGGGATTATTCAGCGAATTGACGCAATTACTGGTGTTGGATCTTTCGCATAACGAGCTGACGGCCGAATGGGTGAACGCGGCCACCTTCAGTCGTTTGGTGCGTCTAGTGGTGCTAGATCTCTCGAGCAATCGCATCGCGCGATTGGATCCGACCGTCTTTCGCGATCTGTACAGCCTGCAGATTCTGCGACTGCAGGAGAATCTGCTGGAGAGTCTGCCGGAGAACACGTTCTCGGCGCTCTTCAATTTGCACACGTTGTTGCTCAGCGACAATCGGCTGACCGTCGTAGACGCGACCACGTTAAGCGGTCTCTATGTGCTCAGCCTCCTCTCGCTGGATAACAACCGGCTGCACACGATACACCCGAGCTCCCTGAGAAACGCTTCGTCCCTGCAGGACTTTCATCTTAACGGTAACCGGCTGACATCGGTGCCGGACGCGCTGAAGGCCACTCCCCTCCTGCGCACTCTCGACCTCGGGGAGAACCTCATCTCCGAGATACCGAGCGGCACCTTCGATCACGTGGCGCAGTTATACGGGCTTCGATTAACCGAAAATCATATCGGCAATCTCACCAAGGGTGTTTTCGATCGTATCAAGGAGCTGAAGATCCTGAACCTCTCGCGTAACCGAATACAGTACATCGAACCCGGGACCTTCGACGAGAATCTCAATCTGCAGGCGATACGGCTCGACGGCAATCAACTGATCGACATCACCGGACTCTTCACCAAGCTGCCGAATCTCGTCTGGCTGAACGTAAGCGACAACAAGCTCAAGTGGTTCGACTACGCCATGATACCGACGGGGCTGCAGTGGCTCGACATACACTCTAACGAGATCCGGGAGCTCGGTAACTACTTCGAGATCGAGACGCAGCTGCAGCTGAGTACCTTCGATGCGAGCGAGAACAAACTCACCGAGATCACCGGCAACGCGATTCCTATGAGCATCGAACTGTTGTTCCTCAACGACAATCTCATCTCCAAAGTGCAGAGTTACTCCTTCTTCAAGAAGCCTAATCTCACCCGGGTAGACCTCAAGGGCAATCAGATCCGGAATCTCGAACCTTACGCGTTGCGCATCAGCGCGGTACCACCTGACAGACCCTTACCGGAGTTCTACATCGGAGACAATCAGTACCTCTGCGACTGTACGATGGAGTGGCTGCAACGAGTGAATCGACAGAACCAGACGCGAGTGCAGCCGCGAGTGATGGACCTCGAGAGCATCTACTGCAAGTTGCTCTATGATCGAGAGCACACTTTCGTGCCGTTAGTGGAAGCGTCGCACTCGCAGTTCCTCTGCAAGTACGACGCTCACTGCTTCGCCCTGTGCCACTGCTGTGACTTCGACGCGTGCGACTGCGAGATGACGTGTCCGAACAACTGCACGTGCTATCACGATCAGTCGTGGTCGGCCAACGTAGTCGACTGCTCGAACGGGGGTCACGCGAATCGGTTGCCCGAGCAAATACCGATGGACGCTACACGACTCTATCTGGACGGCAACGATCTTCGGGTCGTGTCGAGCCACGCCTTCATCGGCCGCAAGAAGCTGAAAGTCCTGTTCCTCAACTCGTCCAACATCGAGATCGTGCAGAACCGATCGTTCAACGGGCTGCGCGACCTGGACGATCTGCACCTGCAGGACAACCGGATACGCGAGCTACGGGGACACGAGTTCGAGGGACTCGACGCTCTGCGGCAGCTGCACCTGCAACGCAACCGCATCATCGCGATCGGCAACGACACGTTCGCGTCGCTGCGCTCTCTGAGAATTCTGCAGCTGCAGAACAACCGTCTGACGAATCTGGCCCTGTGGTCGCTGCCGGACGCGATCGAGCTCAACCTGGCTGGGAATCCCTGGTCCTGCGAGTGCGACTACCTTCGGAGTTATCGCGAGTGGAGCCGCGATTCTGGGGTCCGCGTCGCGGACGCGTCGACGTTGCGTTGCGTGTACAACGTCACGGAATTCGAGGCGTTCGGCGACGAGGTGTTTGCGGACGAGGAGTTTGGTTTCTCGATAAGCGGGAACGAGTTTGGGGTGAACGGCAACGAAAGCGTTTGCACGGACGCGATTAACCTCGACGATGACGGACACGGAAATTACACCAAGACCATCATCGAGAGACAGATACTCCAGGACTACCTGCCGCTGCTGGTGGCGACCTTGGCCAGTTCCCTGGTCGTGATACTCTTGTGCATGCTGGGCTTTGTGTACCGTCACGAGCTGCGCGTGTGGTTCCACTCGCGTTTCGGGGTGCGAATATTCTATCGGACCCAGGAGTTCGACCGGGACGATCGGGACAAACTGTTCGACGCGTTCGTGAGCTACAGCTCCAAGGACGAGGCGTTCGTCGCCGAGGAGCTGGCTCCGGTTCTCGAAATGGGTAATCCGTCCTACAAATTGTGCTTACACTATCGGGACTTTCCAGTTGGGAGTTTCATTGCCGACACGATCGTGCAGGCGGTGGAGTCGTCGCGTCGCACGATAATGGTGCTCTCGGAGAACTTTATCAAGTCCGAGTGGTGTCGCTTCGACTTCAAGTCGGCGCATCATCAAGTACTGAGGGACAGAAGACGCCGGCTGATCCTCGTCCTGGTAGGCGACGTCCATCAGCGGGATCTCGACCCGGACATACGACTGTACTTAAAGACCAACACTTATCTACAGTGGGGCGACAAGCTCTTCTGGGAGAAGCTGCGATTCGCGTTGCCGGATGTACCTAACAATCAACGAACAACCCAGCAGAGGACGAGGCAGCCGCCGCCGGTTCGACGGCAGCACAACAGGACGTCCAACGGATCGCGCACCGTCTCCGTCCATATATGATCCAGTCCGTGTGTATATGCGTGTGTGTGTGTGTGTGTGTGTGTCAAGTGAGTCAGTCATTCGAGTGTCGAGCGAACAACGAGCGGTAGAGTGACACGTGTGAGGAGACGACGAGCCCACGCTCGAGGATCTTTGCATTCGAGACGCATTCAGACGGTGCAATATGACGGTATTGTGGTGTGTGTAAATAGAAGGAAAAAGAAAAACGGAGGGTCTGTATGTATAAATGAAGCGTGCCACGTGTACATAGATGGTGTGTGATAAGAGCGACGAGGTATATCTCTCAGAAATGTGCGTAAACCAGGTGTGCTACACGTAAAATCTGTAAATTGCTGTCGAGGGAGGGGGATATAATTGAAACGAAATCGCGGTGTAAATAGAAATGTCGCGAATTACGAGCAAACTGAGATCGTTACTCGGCTCTCACGTGCGACGATTACGATTGAGTGCGATCATATGGATGTATGTGTGCATTGAGAGAATTTTCTCTTAGAATTTACTCTAGAAATCATAGTAATCGTGGGACAATATGGTATTGGAAGAATTTTATAAGAGTTTCTCTAATTCATATTTACTACGCTAAAAATATTAATATATACCACAATAAGATATAAAATATGTTCGATTAATTTTACTATACACATAGTAAATTTACCATGTACATATTAATATTTTTATTGTGGTAAATATTAATCAGAGAAATTCTTATAAAATTCTTCTAATATCATATTGTCCCACAATTAACACAATTTTCAGGGTAAATTCTAAGAGAAAATTCTCTCCGTGTGTGTATCTGTCGTAAACGAAAGAGATGCAACCCGTGTGCTTGAAATTCGTCACTCGTTGCCGAAGAGATCGGCGAGAGCGTTAATTATCAGTTCGACTGTAGCGCGAATAATTTGACAGTCGATCAGCTGATCGCGCGCTCGGGACGATTTTTCTCGTAATAATAATTTTAATTTCATCGGCAGCTGCGTCTCTCGATCGGTTTCTGCGATAAAATATCGCTTGAATATCAAAGCCGACCTGCGCCTGTCTGATGCAAACACGACGAGCCGATCGTTTAAATAAATTAAACTACGCCCCAACACACAAGTGATACCACTTCCTAATAACAATAATTATTATGTATATTTAATCGTGTTTCCAAGCACAACTCTCTGGCTGATGACGAATTTCATCCAGTAATAAACGAGCTTACGAGCGTCTCTCGGCGGCAGAAGGCGTTGATAGATAACGCTTCACGGTGATAACGGAAAATTTTTAAGTGCGAACATTGTAAAGTATTATTTTAGCCTTATTTATTTCGTTCGAATCGATAAAGAGACTTTATATACGACTTGAATTGCGCTACGTTTATAATACGAGAGTGAGAGAGAAGAGGGAAGAAAATACGGAGATAAAATAGTATAACAAAGTGTTCGCTTGCCGTCGATTAACGGATGATTAATTTAAGAAAACACGTAATTAATTACGCGCCGCGCGCGAAATTTCCATTTGAATTCGACGGTCTCATTATTTGCCGAGCAAACGTGAATTTTAATAGAAGAGATTAATTAAAAAGAAACTTGTACATATATACAAGTTCACGTACATAAAACATATAAATTGTACATATATATTTTTATAAACATATAACACAGACGGCATACTTATTTTTGGCTTAATCGCATTCCGCAATGATAAAAAAAGAAGCATTGATAAAGAAAAAAAATTATCGACGCGTTCGACAGAAAATAAAATAGATCTTACGTGACGTATCTTATCCGAAGTGCGATAGTCGAATTCAAAGTGCGCAAGGAAATTGAAAGAGCTGCTACAAGAAATATTCGAGATATAATGTACAAACGTGGAATAAAGTCTTCTTTAGCTTTTCTCGCAAGCGTTTCGCAAAACTGTTCGACACACGACGAAAAAAAAAAGATATTTTATTTTAGAATAAAAACTCTATGACTGAAATAAATCGTTCTCTTTTCATGTTTTTAATCCTTTCGCATTTCTTGCTTTCCCTCAAAAATAATTATATATAGATATATTAAATATATCTATAGATTTTCGTTTGATATAAGCACTATTAAAAATTGAAATAAATATCTTTGTATTCCGTTGCGATATTCAGTTTTCAGATTTCTCAAGGCAAAATATTGCTTTCTTCAAACGTATTTACGTCCCTCGAAAGATATATACATATATATATCAAAGGCGCATTAAAGCGAATTTACAAGCAGTATGCAGAGCACTTCCTCATTTTCAGTTAATGCAATAAAATGACAAAGCGGTATACGCGATATTCACGGCATGACAATTAAATCTACCATTTCGATGCAGGCTTTGTGCGCCATTTTCTGAGGTAGCCCGAGAACAAAACAATACTTTATGTTAATCGAGTCACGTCTGTATATATTGTCATCACGTCTTGTTACCGTTGCATCAGCAGAATAAGTAATATCTATTTGAAGAAACGAGGAGGATCCCAATTCTCAAACTGGAAGACATTTATAGGAGAATTTCGTGCGTTTTATCCTTGTGTAAATAAATTACTCCGATTCGAATAATGAAAAAAAGATCAATTCCAGTCATTATTTAATCGAGATATAAATTCTCATATTTAAATTTAATTTTACACAATAAATATGTTCTGCTCTATTAGTAACAATATTTTTTTGTTAAAATTTACAGAAAACAATGTTGATTTTCTATTTTATAATATAAGTGGGGATGATAAAATCTAAATTAATTTTTACATTAAAAGTATATTAATTTTACACAAATGTATTTTAAATTATTTGAAGATTTTGCATTTATTTTGAGTTTAAATATTAACCCCATATTTACCATGTCTCCACTTAACACAAAAATGTCTGTGGACCGTTTGGGACATGATATAATATTTGTTAAATTTATCGCAAATTTTTCAACTGTGCAGTTTCATTCGCGTACGAGTATCGTAAAAGACATAAAGATACTATGTGCAAATATAATTACCGGTTTCTATTACGAGAGGTATGGAAGAAGGGGTCTGTGGGAAAATGTAAAAATCTAACTTGTCAATTATAATCATCGATCTTATCGCGCGGCAGCGGCACGCAAAGAGATCCCCACCTGCTTATAAGAGAGAGAGAGAGAGAGAGACTAAATGAGGCACGCAGGAAAATTGTAGCTACGTGAAAACGCGGAATTGCTCGGCTCGCTTCGATCGCGCTGCAATCAATGCGCTGGTAAATGGAGTAACAGAGGCGCGATTCGAACGCGGGAAATATAATAACGTCGGTATAGCGACGTTGTGACAGACGTCGGAGAATATTACAACAATACCGCCGATATCGCGTAATTCTCGGTAACGGTGTCACGGTAATAATGCAGCGCGAGCAAAAGGGAGAGAGAGAGAGAGAAGCTTGGAGTCTCACCCTACATAACCGGTAACTATATTTTGCCGGGGCTATTTTGCGGTCTGGCTGATGATGACTGAAAACGCGGAATTTGTCTGCAACAGCATTGTGCGCTCTCTCGCTAGTTTCGCGGCAACGAAACGTTTCTTCCAACATTTGCCTTAGGTGTTTTCATCACGCTAGGCTGATAGACGGACAGATAGATCGATCAGTCGTAATGGATCTTCGCGTTTCTCTTCCCGCGAGAAAACGCAACGCGCAATAATAATATCGGTTTTATCATCACGCGCGTGACATTTAATGCCGACTCGGCGAAATTATTTTCGACGAGTAATCAAACTGATCGGCCCACGTCTCATGATTAGATTATTCGATATCTATTTGCGAGACATGGTCGTCGTTATTTAACCTTTCTGTCATACAGCGCGAAGTAATTTTAAATGTCAAAAGTATGTGAACATTTTCTCCGAAAATTCCACAAAATTCCAAATCAAAATCAGGTATAAAAAGAGCTGATAACAGCCAAATGTAAATATTAGGCATCATTACCGTCGTCATTTAACCTTTCTGTCATACAGCGCGAAGTAAAATTTTAAATGTCAAAAATGTCTGAAAATTTTTCTAATTAAAATCAGGTCATAAAAAAAGAGCTAATAACAGAAAATTTTTCTCCGCCCGAAAATTCCACAAAATTCCAAATCAAAATCAGGTATGAAAAAGGCTAATAACAGCCAGGCGTAAATATTAGGCTTCAAACTTGTTTTCAAATTTTTCTCCAGTCTGGAAATATATATAATAATTATTTGGAAATAATTGAAGAGTCGAAATAAAAATTAGTTTAATAAATTTAAAAGGTTCTGATATATTGTATACATACAAAATTAATTAAATGTAAAAATAGACTAGTGAAAAAGCCAAGCAGAAATATTATAGGCGCGACAAATATGTTTTTAAATTCCTCTTTAATTATTTCGAAATTAATTAGAAAATTAAAACACAGAGAAATTTAAAAACAAGCTATTGCGCTTAATATTTGCGTCTGAATTTTATTAACTCTTTTTTATACCGAATTCAATATTCATACAATCAAATATTAAAGTCATTTCAATTTATTATTATTATTAAAATTAATTTATCACCCAGCAACTATTATAAAAAAAATTATCGCAGTGATGATATGTTCTGCACTAACGGAGAAGGGTTTAATTACACGGGAGCTCTCTAAATTTTGAGAAATTAATTCCTACGATAGAAGAAAGATTCGAGTGAACAAAGTTCGCGGAAAATCCAAACATAAAATCCCCGGTATCTGTCGGATATATAAATAAATCGTGCAAGCGCACACAAGTCCGGTAACGAGACTCAGCGGACATCCCTATCTGCCGATCCTGTTCTGCCACTCGTGTAATTAACAAGTCCTTAACAACATATCACGGGTAAAACACTCTTTGCATCGCTTATGCTCACCGTTGAAAGCCCTCCTGGTCGAGGCAGGACTCGTCAACCTCGAGAGTCCCCTCGAGTATAATTTTATGTGCCGAGAAAAATCCGAAAGAGAGAGGGAGAAATTATATATACGGACGAGAAAGATCGTAAGATTCAATGGTCCAGATCCGCTTGTAGGCGCGAAAGGAATCGGGCGTGTCTATCTCTTTCGGCCGGGATAAGTAACGAACCGGACGAAAATCGGTCCCTCGTCCACCCAGGCGCGCGCCAGCGCACTTTGATAACGGAGAGATTGCGTGAGGAATTTATAAACCTGTTCCCCCCGCACTTTGTTCTCGTTTAACGCGACCTTAAGAGACAGGGACAGCCGCAGTAGCGGCGCGAGGAAATTAGCGAGCCGATGGAATCTGCGAAGTCGAGGCATAAAATTGATACGGGCGACGTCTTTATACCGTGTATGAGTCCACGCGACGGAAACAACGGCGATAATATAACGTAAAGAGAGAAGGGTGTCGATAATGGAAGCGACACCGAGTAACGGAGGGTTTTTTTATGGGAGGTTAAAGGAGGTAAATTTTAGTTTTTTGCCACTATCTCGGAAACTATCAATTTTTCGAGAAAAATGGTTATTATCCAAATTGTAGCTCATAAAATTCCTAGAAAAAAAACGTTATTATACTTTTTTTA